AAAAAGTGATAACTCATTTGTGCAGGTTATTTATAGACTTGCACGGTGCTCTTTCCTAGTTAAGCGCTTGTACTTTGGTTTAGTAACCAACCCACGTGACCATACGGCGCTCTCTCTTTGGTAAGCACACGTTCTTTGTGCTAGTAATTAACCCACGTGACCTGGACGATAAAAGAATTGGGTATCATACTCTTTAAGAGCCAATATCCAACATGAGTTTTGAACTTTTTGGTGTCGATTCCGTCAGGTATGTTAATGGATCATGGTCTGTAAAAATTTTGATTTTGGATAAGCAAATCCATGATTGGAATTTTTGAAGGGCATTGTATGGTCTGACATTGGCACAGCTTTGCATCTGATGTTGTTGGTGATGTTGGCCACCACTTCTATTTTTTGATGGATCTGATCTTTCTGAGTCCTGTCTGACTCTGGTCATATAATTCATTGGGGGTTCGAGTAAAAATGAGGTTGCATTTGACTGCTGTGATGGAAGCTTGGCCCCGAACCGAAAAATCAACTCTGAAATCCTCCAGTCTCTGATACTTGCTGAGCCATCCCCTCAACCTGCCATCTACCAGCACATGCTTCCTTGAATATTTGAGGAAAGCCCAGAACTTTTCCAGGCCATATAACTGGCCGTTTTGATAATCGCTGATGGCCTTTTCATAGAAGTGCTCAAACTAGTCAGGTCGAAATCTTTTCTTCAAACCATAACTATAGAACCGAAACAGACATTTTAAGCCATACCTGAACTCTTTATTGGCATCTTCAATGGCAAGTTGCCTGAACTCCTCGTACATTTTTCGGTGAAAGTGAGGAAGAAGAAAAAATGACCAAAACCTGAAAAGGGTGTTCATTTCTGTAGACTGCCCGATCCCAACCTTCCGACAATCCTTGAGGCAGTTGGCTCGGTAAGAATTGTACTTGTGCCAGATGAAGTTGTTGTCTTTCAATAGCTCATGGGATGGGCACTCCAACGTTATACACGCGACTGACAAGCTTTCTGAAACTGTGTGACTTCTTTCATTGGCTGTCGATGATGCTAAGGACGCGTGTGTTAACGGAAATTCTACTGAAACTTGTCTTGATGTCGTCGGCTTCGCAGGAGTTTTGATGCTTTCCAAAAAATTCTCGGCATTGGACGATCTGGGTGGTAGAGTCCCACCAGAAGATTTATGATCATATTTTGAGGAGCTGATGTTGTCAACACTTTTATAATTTGTTATTTCATCATTAGTTTGTTTCTGATGTTGTTGCGGTTGCTTTTTTGGCTGCCTCTGCTGTTGACGTTGTTGTTTTTGTTGTGGTCTTTGTGTTTCTTTGTTCGTCTCGCAACGCATGACGTTTCTAGTAGCCGTAAGTGTATCTCTTCTTTTCCATTTACAGCGCTTTGCAATGTGACTGGTCTTTCCCCAAGAAAAACATGTCTGTTTGGGTGAAACTATTTTGTTGCCATTACTCTTATACATCTGGTTTTTGTTTTCTCGAGTCGATTGTATCTGACTGCTACTGTCAGACATATGTGTAGTGTTGCTGGAAACTATTATGTTCATGGCAGCTTTATATTTGTCGATTGTTTGTGCCAACACGTCATGACTTATCCAGGAAGCCGCTTGTTCCTGTGACACAATAAATTCCAGTGTATGCCTTGATATCAACTCTTTCATTCTATCTGCACATATCAATTTCATTGCATCTTCTAATCCCATAATGTTACGGCTTTGAAAATAATGGTTCAGCGTGCCATATAATTTCACCCCGAACTTTGTGTATGATTCGTTTTTCTGTTTTCTCAGGGCAAAGAATTCCTCTCTCAATTTTGTCGGGTTTAACTTGAACTCTCGTAGAATGAGTTTTTTAATTTTGCCATAATCCTTCAAACCGTCAGCAGAAATAGTATGCAACCATGTTTTGGCCTTTTCGTTTAAACTCGTTATCAGCAAATTGGCTTGAATTTCTCAGTCTACGTGATAGTTTTTGAAAATTTTTTCTACGTGTTAAAGAAAGCAGGGATATCTCTGGGTTCTAATGGACAAGTTCCTATTAAATGTTTTAATGACTCCGCAAAGAATCGAGTTTGTTGCATTAGTTTAATTGTGTTATTATGCTCACTAGCATCATCGGCTACTCTTCGATTATTCATACCTTCTACTTTTAGTCAACGAATCTCTAACTCTTGGCTCTTAAGCCGAAATTCTGCTTCATCTCTTTCTCGCTGTCTGACCACCTTTGCTTCTCTAAGTTTATATTTCCCTTCATCTTTTTTCCATCTCTTTCTGGCTGTCTGGCCATCTCTGATTCTCTAAGTTTATATTCCCTCTCATCTTTTTCACGTTGTCTAACAATCTCCGCTTCTCGAAGCTTATATTCCATTTCTAACCGTTTTCTTTCGTATAAGGTCAATCCACCTTCAGTATCTTCCGACACAGCGCCCTCCGTCGCAATACTGCATGGAGATTCAACGCTGTCCGCCAAATTTGTTGCCCGCGTTTCTAGCAGCTGCGACCTACTCATCAATCGCACACTGGCTTCGTCGATTGATCTCTTCAGTAGTTTCTTCGTTATCTGTTCGGTCGACAAACGTTGTAATTTTTGTTGTTTTGTCTTCGTCAACCGATCCTATAATGAATTATCAACTTGCAACAAACGTACAATGAATGTATATATATATATATATATATATATATATATATATATATTTGGTATAAGGTTCTCAGATAAACATGTTCGGTTGAAGATTACACCCCATTTTGCAGTTAGAAGTTTTTTAAATAAAATTTCAACAACACGAAGCTGTTTTGTTTCAACTTTATTAAACTGTGAAGTTTGGCTGACGGCCGTTTCGGCTAATGCCATCGTCGGAGCCTAGATTGTAAAACCAAATGAGGAGTTAATAATATAAATTATAAGAAATAGAAAATAGAATATTAGATATTAAAATGAATAAATAAATGAATAATAACCTATATTTTAAAAATTAACTCATTATATTGTTGAAAATAAACGAATAAATTTAAAAGAAAAATTATGAATAAAATTGTTAGTTTATTATTGTAGTTGAAGTGTACATAGTTAGCATAGTGACGAGAAGTAATGCAGAAATTATGGGAAGTCGATAATAATATTTAATGATATGACAATTTATTGAAGAATTATTAGATATTTAACAATTGGATATAATATTATTTAGCAATAAATATGTATAAAGAAATATTAAGGCGTGGCAAATAATGAAGTTAGTGAACAAATTGTTTGAGTTTTATGGCGTGAAGAAACAAACGGATTGTTGTTAATGGTGCGTTCTTGTGTGTTATATTCGTATTATATTGGGGGAG